TTTTTCCCCCGACCATCAGCTGTTCTGCTGTGCCGGGAGATTTAGATTCGCTAGAAAGCAGGAAATCGTTGGATTTCTTGCTTTCTAGCTAATCTACAAGCAGAGCTGAACCTTCCTTAGGACCGAAGCTTCTACTGTTCAGTGCAGACTCAGGTAGCCAATGGCAGAAAGATAGATTTCTGAGTGAGTCTGTGATTCTGTGAGCAACTCAATCTGCCTGCCTGCCTTGCCCGATTTTGGGTAAAAGTTGCTCCTTCCTTTATAAAAAATTCAATATTTACATAATTTACATACAAATAAGTCTTCACAATATTTACATACAAACCATGCCCAGCCAGTCACATGACCACCAAGCCACACCCACAGAACCGGTTGTTAAGAAATTCGAATTCTTGCAGCTGAGCCAAGCCAGCTCCAGCTGCGGCGGCTGCTGACCACTCCAGCCTCTTAAAAGAATAGAACAGACAGAAATGCAGGAAATGTATATATATAAAGAATTATAAAAAGGTAAATATATAATTGTACGAGTAGAGAAATATACCAGGAACTGACAATGAAAATGAAAGTATTACTATGTAAATAGATAAGAAGCCAACTCCGATGTGCTGTCAAAAATGGAAAGGCGGCGTAAAATGTGTAATAAAGATATTATTTAAAAACGAAAAGAATATAACAGTTGGAAGGGACCTTGGAGGTCTTCTAGTGCAACCCCCTGCCTAGGCAGGAAACCCTACACCACTTCAGATAAATGGTGCTTCAATCTTTTCTTAAAAACTTCCAGCGTTGGAGCATTCGCAACTTCTGGAGGTAAATCATTCCACTGTTTAATTGTTCTCTTGTAGAGTTGTAATTGCAGGAATGTTCTTATCTTGGATGGCAAACCTCAGATAAAGAATGTTTACAAGCAAATACAACTCAGGCAAACAAAGTCACTAATCTAAAGGAGGATTAGAGAGAGGAAGTAAACATGTGTTAGACTTAAACTAGAGATAATTAATTGTATTAATTACTATGCTAAACAGTAGCAAAACTTAAGCAATAACCAAAGTTAACCAATGTTGGAGGATTACTAAAAATGTGTATAAATGCAAGACTAGACTTCGGTTGATCATGATCAAGCAACTCAACTGCCTCATCTTTACAACATTCTCTCTTTTAGGAAGGATACAGAATAGAGAATAACAGAGTTGGAAGGGACCCTGGAGGTCTTCTAGTCCAACCCCCTGCTCAGACTTAATTCCAGGTTGCTTCTCTCCTTGATCACTTTCCATCCGTTCTTTAAAAACTTCCAGTGTTGGAGCATTCACAGTTTCTGGGGGGAAGCCTATGATTTAACTGATTCATTGTTCTAACTGTCAGGGACTTTCTCTCCTTCGTTCTAAATTGCTTCTCTCGCCTTGGGTGAGGTTCCCTCCGTTGCGTCTCGTCCTGCCTTCAGGGGATCTTTGGGGAATAATTTGACCCCCCCCCCTCCTCTTCTTGCAGGTAAACAAGTCGGACGACACAGCCGAGCATCTCCTGGAGCTGGGCTGGGTGACCATGAACAACCTGCTGCCCAACGCCGTCTACAAGGTGGGGTGGCCCACCTGATCTAGTTGGGTAACGAAACGTCCGGGAGCCAAACAGCCAGCTCAGAGCACGGACCCGCTCCCACGGCCAGTGGTCCTAGCCCACTCCCAAGAGCACAAAGGTCCTAACCAGAAGCCCCCCCTCCCCCATTCAATTCTGGAGCTGACCAGAAGTCCGGTTCCCCCACCATAGAGTCCTCCTCCTTCCTCTACCTGTCCTAACTGAAAGCCCTCTCAATTGTGGAGCCGACCAGAAAACCTTCCCCTTGCCATAGAGTCTCCTTGCTTCCCCCCGCCCGCCCCCAACCAGAAGCTCCTTTGAAAATTGTGGCGCCGACTGGTGACCAGGAGCCGCAGCAGAGGAACGAAAGAGCCACATGTGGCTCCAGAGCCGCAGGTTGCTGATCCCTGTCCTAGAGTGTCAGGATTCCAGCCATTGCCCTAATTAAATCATGATTCTCCAGCCAAACTTCAAAAAACTTCAAAGGATTCATTAGAGACGACCTATAGTGGCCCTGCCCTGTATGAAGCCAAATCTGGCCTACGTCATTCACAGTCCCCTATGACCCTGTCGTCCCACCCACCCCCGGTGGTGTCATAAATCAGATTCTCCAATTGAGCATCTTCACAGGCTGGATGTCATCAATCACATTCTCCAATTAAATATATTCGTGGGGCAAAAGCTCCAGTAGTTTAGCTACAATCTTTTAAAGATAAAGAGTTGGAATGTACTCCCGCTTCCAAACTGCTGCGCTGCTCTCCAGGATTGCCTTCCTCCCCCCTTTTTTATGGCAACTACTAAAACAGGCCTAGGAATGTTCGATGAGTTGACATTCGGCTCCTCTCACTCCTTGAAGGTGACCTGTATAAAGCAAAAACAATTTGAGTGCAGATATAGAATGTAGAGTTGCAACCCCCCCCCCCCCCAAGGCTGGGTTGGATGTTCTGCATGGAACCTTTGCTCTAAGGCGATCGGCCTGGACATTCCTACGCTTTACCCAAGACGCCTCTGATAAGGGGCAGCCCTTCCCTTTGATTAAATATTGGAGTTGTCTCCTGTGCCACCTCGAATCGAGGATTTGCTCCAGCTCATCATGCGTTTGGCCCCCTGTGACCATGGGCTCTGGGGGCTCACGAGGTAGGGGCCTCAGGGTCCATCCCACCACAGGTTTTAAGAGTGCATACAAGCAAGGAGGGGGCTTCCCCCCTGCAGAGGGGGGATTTTGACCTCTGGTCTGTCCCCCGCAGGTAGTCCTGCGGCCCCAGAGTGCCTGCCAGTCGGGACGTCAGCTGGCCCTGCGCATTTTCAGCAAGGTCCGCCCGCCTGTGGGCGGCATTTCCATCAAGGAGCACTTTGAGGTGAGCGGGGCTGGGTGGAGGGCTGAGCCCCTCCCTCCCCTTTTTGCACGTGGGGAGCCTAATCTCTGTGCCCCCTCCCCCCCAAAAAAAACCAGGTCAACGTGGTGCCGCTGACCATCCAGCTGACCCACCAGTTCTTCCAACGCATGATGGGGTTCTTCTTCCCCGGACGCAACGTGGAGGAGGAGGAAGTGGGCGACGAAGAGGACAAGTCCAAGCTGGTGACCACGGGTGAGTGGGAAGGGCACCCCCCCCCCCCCCCCCCCCGAAGGAGGCTGCCTGGCGCCTCTCTGCACGCTTCCCAGCTCCGTCCTGGGGAGGGAAGAGCTGTGGGAGATGAGAGTTTTGACATGAATGGAGGCAAAATCTACCATGTTTTCCCAAAAATAAGACCCTGTCTTATATATATATATTTTGTCACGCAAAAAAGGCACCAGGTCTTATTTTTGGGGGGATGCCATCCACTGGCTAACCTTGATTGTGGGCATCACGCTTGGCCTCCTTTTCGCTGTCAAAGGCCTTCCGGAACTCCTTCTTCTGCGGCCAGCAAGGCTCTCCTGAAGGCCTCTGCACCCTTCAGGATCGATCCAGAGCTTTGTCATCAGCTCCAGAGGCCTTCAGGAAAGCCTTGCTGGCTGCAGAAGAAATGGGCCGGCAAGGCAGGTGTCGGGGTGTGCGAGGCCTGGCTACACCTGCCCAAAGGTAAGTAGTAGGGCAGCTCCACCACTCCGCATCCCCACCCTGGCTTAATTGTTACCCGTCCATTCTGGAGTGGGTAGGTGGGGTCTTAATTAGGGCTTATTTTGGGGGGTAGCGCTTCTATTGGGTGCATGTGTAGAAATCAAGCTAGGACTTACTTTCAGGATGGTTCGTATTTTCGGGGAAAACAGGGTACGTGTCCCAGGATAATATCGCAGGATCCAATCTGGATCGGTCACGGGGACCGGAGGTTTGAGTCCTCCGAGTTGTGCTGGACCCCCTCCGCAGGGAAGGTCATGCCTGACTGTGTGTAGATTTAAATGTAGTAGCGTTGATGGGTGGCCGTTAAGTGGTTAGTCATTGATTGCCC